TCACATGCTTGCTGCTCCATGTGGCTTCCTCAGGGCTCCTTCTTGTTCTCCATCCCGCTTCCTTCTCTCCTTCTCTCTCCTGATCCCTTCTCTTCTCTCCTTTTTCTCTGCTCAGCTCCACTCTCTTTCTAGGTAGGGCAGGGAACCTGGAACTTCCCCTATTCCTAGGGACCACCCTGTTACAAAAGTAGCCACTGAGGAGGACCCTTTGAAGGTGGGCTTGGTAGAGGGTGATGAGGTAGAAGTTCCAGCTCTCTTTTAAGTTAACAGCTGTAGGTGTGTATCCTTGTCCAGGCAACACCCACTGTGTCACAATCCAAATTCTTAACTGAAAGACATAAAAAATTGCTTGTAGATTTAGGCACTATTATACCCAAGTCGGTCTTAAATGAACCAGTGTTTGGTTCAAACAGATAAGTCATTTAGAGAGGGTAGGCCAAGCATTACTCCAGAAAAGACAGGGTGGGTACTACGGGGCAGGGGGGAGGGGGCACCCATTTACTGTTATTTACCCTACAGACCAAAGGGTTTTTTCGTCAGATTAGTTTTTCTCAGCACCTAAGCCCATGGGTTTATTCTGTTTCACTGGGCTGTATAAATTCAAAAAATCCTTCAGGTGTGAGTTTTGGTTCTCCCAAAGCAAATAAAGGGGAAGCAGTAGTTTGGTTAAAAAAACAAAACAAAACAAACAAAAAAACCCACTAACATTAATTGAGCACCTATTAAATGCCAATGTATATGTTCTCTCCTTTAGCCTTCTAAGAATTGTTACCTCTACTGTAAAAAGGGGAGAAAATTCAAAGCTAAAACAGATTAGACAATTTCCACAAGGTTATTTGATTAGGAAGTTGTAAGGACAGTGGTGAAGCCTAGAATCCTGTCATTAGAATGTAGGCATTAGCTAATTGCATTCCTTATTTCTGCCAGGGAAATGGGACTTTATTATTTCATGTCTTGTTGGTGGACAGATTTTGAAATGTTTAACAAATGCTTCAGCCCAGTGCACAAAGATGGCCATTTCAGAATAAACCTTTAAGAAACCTCATGGGCCCTCTCGGGTGGCACAATAGGTTAAGACATAGCACTGCGAGCTAGTGCAGCCACTTCAGTGAGAGTTCAATTCCCAACCCCAGAGGTGACCCACATGGAGTGGCAGACATCTCCTGACGTGCCTGCTGCTCCCCTCAGCAGTGTACTTGTCGATCTGCCTACTCTGCTCCCCACTCTGTCTCTGGTGAATCCTCTCACTGACCCTGCACCTCTGGCCTGTACCCCAGTTTTGTATGCATAAATAAATAAATCTTAAAAAGAAAAAAAGAGAAACCTCATGAAGGATATGTTACAGGTGGCCACCAAAGAATGAGGACAAAATACTGCTGGTTATAGCTCCATGAAGTAGAACAGAAACTCTCTAGGAAGCTCACAATAGTTCCCACGATGAGAATCTGACATCTGAATTTGGGGCAAGGGACAGTATTAATAACTGAGGTCATGGTCGACGAGCAAATGCTTCTCACTAATTCTTTCTCCTTGGTGGCTACACATATGTATATGTTTGAAACCGACTGTTTTCTGAGTTCATGCTGATATTGGAGTCTAAACATGAACTCTTGGGCTCCCTTCTCAATTGAATTATTCAGTTCCCCTGGGTCATTTAAATGTAGCTGCTAAATATTCACATAAATTGCCAAGTAATGAAAGTGTCACTACAGAATGCCTCAAAGCTCTTCTCATAGAAGAGATTTCTGCTGTTAGATTCTTTCTAAAACACACAATAATCTCTAATTCTAAGAGTCTGAAGTTGCACATTTCTGGGAAGTATAAGGAAATTACTCCAGCTTATACCAGATGCCTGGGGGTATGCAGAAAGGATGGAGCAGGAGGGTAGAGAGGCAGGAAGAAGGGAGTCAAGACTCAGAGCAGATGTTCACCCTTCCACTTTCTGGGGACAGTGCCGACAGCTGCAAACGGCTATAGCTCCAGCTTTGTGCCAGTATTTATCATGCGTGAGCTCAAGGCAAGAACTCTGTTAGCTTTTCCCACAGTCAAACCTCCCAATGCCTGTGCCCAAGCAATCACATCACCAGGGACCTGGGGTGTGAGAGGAGGATAGACCAACAGACACTTACTAATAAGCTCTTCAAGTTCAAGGAGCGTTCCTTCTTGAGGATGACCAGTGCAGCCAGGCCACAGAAAGTATAGCCACCGTGGGCTTCCATCCCTGGCACCCCGCCAATTCCACCTTCCCAATTCTGACACCTAAGAGGACATTGAGAAAAACAGGTTGAGTAGTCTGTGCCAACTAAGAAGCAGTTGGATGTGTAGATGTGCGTGGTGCAAGACCACTCGGGTGGCTGAGAACCAGCGCCCTCACACTGAGGCATACACCATCGCCATCACGGAGGAAAGAGGCCAGCCCACACACTTTAGGCGATGCCTTGCACTTAAATACAAACAACCCCAACCTAAGAAACTTAGGTCTACTTATCTTGCATAGTACTTCAAATTATTACTTTTTAGGATAAAGTTATAAAACTGTACACACAGAGACAGACATGGAGCAGAGAGACACATGAAGGACCTGCTTGGTTCTCTACTTTGCACCAGGGACTTGGGACAATGCTCCAGGGACTTGACAGAGGAGACACATAGTGCTCAGACACGAGGACAGTGGAAGAGACGTGGTGAGAGGCCTGTGGGAAACTGACAGTGGTGGCCATTATCTTGATTTGTACTTTGATTTTGATCCTGTGGAACAAGACTTGCCTGGTCCCTTCTGCCCCTTTCCTACAGTTCCCTGCCTGAAAGTGCCTTAGGGGCACCTTTGTGGCAAACTTTTGGACCTTAGTGGCCCTGCTTTGGGCCAAATACCCTGTTTGGTTGAGTATTTGCCCATGAGGGGATGGGTAACGTCAGGTGTTTTATTAGGAAATGATTATTCTTTCTTCTTTTTCTATGCACATTAACCCTTTGAAAGTTCTTTCACACTAAAATAATAATAATAATAATAATAAAATCACACATACTGTATGGTTATCATATGGTTAAATTAAAATTGAAAAATAATAGCCAATTCTGGTTATCTCTGAGTACAGGTCTACTGCTAATATTGTCCCCTTTTCTCCATTATCAGGTTATAGCTGATAACATGTATGTATATATCTATATACATATATCTAACTTCTAAAAAACTATTTTTCAAATTCTATTTTCCTAAATATTCAAATTATTTGTTATCATAATTATTACTTACTAGGGATTAGGCTAAAATATTGAATATATTTTCTAGTCATAAAAATATGCATAATCTTTGAAGCAGCAAAATACAGTTATTTGGTCATTTCTAGGAATTAATTCTAAAGAAGAAATTAGAATATATCAAAGATAGACTATAAGAATATGCATAGTGTTCCTAATCATAACAGTAAATATTAAAAACAACCCAGAACTTCAACGGCTGGTTACATAAACTATGGTACCTCTGTATAACAAAATACTACTTAGTTATTTACTTAAAGTGATATTATTTGAAAATATTCTAAATATATTTCATGAAAAAAGCTATAACCTGATAACATACTATATGACTTCACTTCTAGAATTCTGGAAAGATAGACAGCAAAAGAGTAGTTATCTCTTGGTGGTGAATTACTGGTGGACACTGGAAACTAGAAGATAGTGGTGTAATGTTTAGAAATTCTGATGGAGTACAATTTATACAGTTTCCAATTTAGAAATCGCTAGCCAAATAAACTATTAAGTGTGAGACTAAAATAAATATATATGCAAAATCTTAAAAATGTATTTCTTAGGGAGTATGTGCTTCCTGAAAATGAGTAAGTACAGCAAGAGAAAGCAGGGCAGGGGCTTCGACAAAGGAGAGGAGTGAAGTGAATTTCATGTTGCAAAGAAGTTTCTGGCTGCCTGCTGTGCAGCAAGCTAAAAGCAATCTGTCCAGACTGAAGCAGAAAGGCAGAGGGTGCCAGGAGGGGTAACTGGAAATGCACACACACACACAAGAATTGATTCATTACCTCGATCATTGCTAGTAATATTGCTAGTAATAGCTCTGGCCGGAAATTTGGGAATGAATTCATGATACATACATTTTTTTAAAAGAGTAATGATTAATAACAGGAAACTAAAAGTTTACAAAAGAGTAAATATGGCCATAATATATTATCTGGTTTAGCTGTAAAGTAATAAATATTTTAATAAAAATGTGAAACTCAAAGTAGAACAATACAGCTAGATGTAATTTCTTCCTAACACATGTGTGTCTATATATTTTTTTTAATTAGAAAATGTCTAAAGTGTCAGGAAAGCACAGTTAAATAATATAAAGAACACATATTCTCTTTGATGGAATCACACAGACGCCATCTTCTCTCTTCTGTGTAAATATGGAGCCCTCCACTAATCTCATTTCCTTTGTTCTTTTCTCCCCAGAAATCACCACCATCCTGAATTTGGTGTTTCTCCTCCCCATGCATGTCTAAGTTACTACATTTGATACTCCCCATAAACAATACTGAATCATTTTGCATGTCTTCAAATTTTAAGTAAATGTGTTAATCTGTATATTTAACACCCTTCTTTTTCATTCATCATTTTTGAAATTTATCTATATAGATAAATGAGCTCTAGTTAATTCACATTAACTACTCTATTAATACTCTCATGTGACCATCCCACAACTTACATATCTGTTTCGTGCTTATGAATACTTGGTCTGTTTCCAATTCTGGGCTACGATAAACAAGTCCTATGTTTGTCTCTTACACACATGTGTAGGTCTCTGGAAGAGCAGAATTATTTAGCTCTCAGCCAGGGCATCTTTGAGATATCACCAAACTGCTTTCCAAACTGGTTCATTCATTCAGATGTTTCCCATCCCTCTACCCAAGTTTTTGTCCTTGACAATCTAAACTATAATGCAACATAAAAGAAAATCTGGAAAAAGTTTGTGTACTTTTGAAATGCACAATCTTACAACACTCCTGCATCCCTTGTGATTTTATATCCCCCTCCAGTTCTTTTTCATTTTTTTTATTTTTCAGACATCTCGACCACCTCTTAGACGTAAGCGGTCTGGACAAATAGCATTCGCCCACCTTGCTATCCATTCAGCAGTGCCCTCAAAGAGGTCTGGAGTGATGATGTTGGTCAGAGAAGCTACCGAGGTGGCACAGTATGCACTTCTGGAAGGACAGAAAGAGAGGGGAGAGGTGTTAAGCTTTAAGGAAGGGCCTCAGTAAGGTTCACTGAACTTCCTGGGCAACTGCTCTCTTTGCCTCATAAGCTCTAATCACCTCCTGTCCTCATTCTTGGCACTCGGTCAGTCCTTCTGGGCCTCCAGCTGAGAGGTTTGACATTCTATTTGGATAGAGTTGCTCACCGCATGGCTTCAGTGAAAGAACATGACATTCTATTCTCCCTACCTCCACATGGTCAAATCTACATCAGAGGAAATAACAGCCACATCAATTCATGTCAAAAGTGAATTTAGCACTTCTTTTGAAAACCGATAATGGCTCCCTAAATTCCATGCTGTCACTTAGGCATTTTAAAGTATTTATTCATTCAGATGTCAGTACTGTGTTAGATCTGGATTTCTGTCTGTTTATGACAAGGACATACTAAAGGTTAATTATATTTTTTCTATAAGCAGACTCACTCCAGAGCAGGCCACAGGGCTCATGACTGCTTAGACTAAACAAGAGGGGTAGGACTGGCTGTGCCGTCACATCCAGGGAGTTGTCACCGCATCAGATACATTCCTTAGGTCTCTAAGGCCTTCGGAAATGAAAAAGAGCTTTGATTTCAAGCACCCCTCTTGTGTAAACACACACATATACACGCACTGCTAAATGAAAAAGTGTCTTTTTTTTCCCCAATGTTTTCCTACTTGATTTGGAATATGCTTGCCATTCCATTCTGCCAGCCCTAATTCTTCTCAGGACACTTTATTTCAAACTCTCCTATTATGGAAAACATCCACAAACTGTCATTTTTGCTTTCTGTAGCTTTTCAAATATCTAGTATTTCAGCTTCATTTTATGTTAAAGACAAAAAGCGATTTCTAATGCAATTTATGGATCCTTTTTCTAAGAAATAGAAAAGAGAAGAAAAAGAAGGGTCTAGCTTAGAAAGACATTACTAAGCCAAGCTTACTGAGGTATTCCAAAGAAATCTCTGCAGAAGCTGCAAGCATGATTATCCTACCAGCAATGTTAGCAGCCTGCTCACACTGGCCAGAAGCCCAGGAGAGGCTGAGTTTCACCCACAGGCCTGGAAGCATACAAGCTTCATGTGCACCAGGCCCAGATGTGACCATCTATCATGCACTAACTTCAAGGTTCTGACCTAATTTCCTTCAAATGTGTCTGCTCTGGAATCCCTCCGAGGCAGGGAGAGGTCCACATAAAGGGAAGTTGGCTCTCTTAAATGCAAGAGCTGAGATGTCAAAACCCACTCATCCCAGATTTCACATTGGGACACAGAACAAGAAACAACTTTTCCGTTAGTTTCTTCCTCTCTCCATCCAACTAGTTGTCACATCACTCAAATGTGTCCCCCTAAAGTCCCCTTTACCCAGATCCATCTCCTGTGGGGTCCCCACTCCCTCCAGCCCTTAATCACACCTGAAAAAGGTATCTGATAGGACACCAGAGTGATCTTAGTCAGGTGTTTATTTCGGCTGAATAAACCCAGGAAGTTTTAAAAAGTTAAATTTCAGAGCCCTCCCTAATGGTACAATGGGTAGAAGCGCAGCACTATGAAGCTAGCCACAGCACCTCAGTGTGAGTTCGGTCCCCAGTCAGGGAGGTGACCCACATGGCACAGCAGACTTCTCCTGACCCGCCCACTGCTCCCCTCAGCAGTGTACTTCCTCAGTTAGCCTGTTCTGCTCCCCACTCTGTCTCTGGTGAATCCCCTTACTGTCCCGCACCTCTGGCCTGTATCCCATTTCTGTATGCAAAAATAAGTAAATCATTTTTTTTTTAAAAAAAAGCTAAATTTCAGAACTGAACTTACTTGATTGGGATTCTGCAGTTTCACTTTCTCAGGTAACTGAAACTGTGGTTTATAGACATATTTATTACGTCATATTTATTATTTAATATTTTGAGAGCCCACATCCACAAAAGTCATATAACAGCACATTGCTGTATTTGTCCTATTTTATTAGTACTTATTGTTGTTCATCTCTTATGGCCCTTAATTTATAAATTAAACTTTATCATAGGTACATATGTATAGGGAAAAAAAAAAGAGGACATCTAGGATTCATGGTTTCAAGCATTTGTTGGGGATCAAGGAATGTATCCCCCCACCCAGACAAGGGAGAGAGCGCTATATCCATAAAACAGGGATGAGGCCCTCCCTGATGGCATAATAGGTTAGGATGCTGCACTGCAAGCTGGCCACAGCCTCTTCAATGTGGGTTTGATCCTCCATCATGTGGTGATCCACATGGCACAGCAGACCTCTTCTGTCTCACCTGACGCTCCCCTCAGCAGTATACTTTGTTGATCTGCCTGGCCTGCTCCCCACTCTGTCTCTGGTGAAGCCTCTCACAGCCCCTGCATCTCTGGCCTGAACCCCAGTTTTATATGCACAAATAAATAAATCTTTAAAAAAAAAAAAACAGGAATGAAAATGAAGTGACTGTAAAGGTAAAAACATCTTTTCACTTTTTCCTGAAGAAAAATCAACACAATGCTACCTTACTGTTAAGGGGAAGGATGTCCTAAAGAAAACTGCAGAGTTTTGTGGACTCTACCCCCTACTCCAATGATTGGAAACTACAACTCCCAGCAGTACCAGGGAGAAAACTACAAGGACCCAAGGGTGTAACTAAGTAGGAATTCTGGGACTTTGGAGGATAAATAGGGAGCCATTTGCTATAGCTCTCTCTCACTTGGAAGATGGCTCTCGGGACCACATGACTCAGGGCTTTCTGTTAGCTCCAAGTCAGCCGAGTCCATAAGATATTCCAATTACTTTGTAACCCTCTTTCTTTCCCTGGGTTGTTTCCTTTTCCTTTCCCCTTTTGTAAGTAAATCCATTATTGACCCCTTTGTGTGTGTCTGCAGTATAACTGAATTTTAAGCACATGGGTAAGGCCCCACAGACAGGCAGCCCAGTTCACACTGGGGTGCCCTGTAACATTACCATACTAGTTTTATTGTCTTTGTTGGCCAGGTAATGGGATTTTGTGAATAATAAGAAATAGGTAACTGGTCTTCATCCCAGGTTTGTGGCACAGAGATTTCAAAACCCTTGGAGTTAACTGAGTGACAGGGATGATGGGAACATCTTGCTGTTCATAACGAGCTTCATTCAACCACAATAGAGTTTATGCTAATAAGGTGACTCCCAGAAGACATGTAATCAGAGGGTTGGAGCTTTTAGGTTACTCCCCAGTCTCTGGGGAAGAGAAGGAATGATGGTTAATGATTCGATCAAGCACACCTACATAATCCATTTTCATTAGAATCCTAAGTGAAGGGATTTGGAAAGCTTCTGGTGAACACATCTACAGGCTGGAAGTGTGGCACACCCCAACTCCAGTGGGTCAGGAGCTCCTGCATGCAGGACCCTGTAGACTTAGCCTTATGTGCTTCATCTGGCTATTCATTTGTAGCCTTTTAATTGTCTTTACAATATACTGAAAATAGTAAGTAAAGTGTCCTGTGAGTATTGTAGCAAATCACTGAACCTAAGTGGAAGCCGTGGGAACATCTGATTTACAGTCAAATTGGGGCAAAACTGTGGCTAAGCCAGGGAGTTGAGATTGGGTCTGGAGTGGGGGCAGTCTTGTGGGTCCAAGACCTTAGCCTGTGTGGCCTATGAGAGCTCTGGCAAGTTGGCATCAGAATTGTTCAATACGAAGACAAAAATGCACAGTGGTGTTAGAAGTGGTATGAGTTGAGACAGTCATTGCAACAGATACCTTGTCTAATTTTTTGGCTTGAACATATGGATTGCAGATAGAAAAAAGATACCTTTAGAGAGTCCTTGCAACCTGGAACCTTTTCTCTGCAGTGTGTTTTACGCTCTGTGACTCCATGTATTTTTTTTGTGCCCTATACTTTCAAACCATTTACTAAACCAGAATATTAAACAACTTGTTTAGAGGCAAACACATTTACAAGTAGGCAATAAGATAGCTTTTGTAGAGAAGACTCATAAAAATGTATTTCTCCAACGAAATAATAAGAAAGTAGTGTACAAACCCCACTGCCTTTGAGAAATGACTTATTCAGTGAATTCCCTACATACTTTGTAAGCAATCCCCGGCCAGGTGAATAAGCTACTTGATAGGTACATCCGACAATTCTTGAGTGAAAGAATTTTCAGCCAGGTGGTTCTAGTCTGTTACTGCAACCCTATGCCATGGTACTTTACTGGCTCCCAGGCTTCAACACCTCCCCAAGCAAGGCCATCCTGGTGCAAAACACCCCCATGATTTCATCAAGTTTGTCCCAAAAATATTTACTAAGTCCCTACTAGGTTTTCTTCTCTTTTCTTATCCCAGAGAAATGAAAGATTCTATTACACTATAGAGTTATTACTTGTTAGGGTATATCATTTTATAGCAAATGTATTTTTGATTTTTATAATAAAAGCTTTGATTTTGTTTCCATCCTACTTATAGTGGTTAAGACAGTCACATGATGAAGACGCCGGTACCACATCTGCAATGACAGGAACCGTGTCACTGCCATGCCATTCTGTATCACTCCATGAGACAGAGCAGCAGCTTCCCCACCATCTTCCTTGGTTTTGGCCCCTTTAGTGGCAGATAAGTTCTAGAATCTACTGATGCAGTAGCCCAATTTAAAAAACCCACTCACCTCACATCCACCTCACCTCCAACATGCATAAGAAAAGAACCATCAGGTTGCTTGAGTGAGTACAAGTACTGCAGAAGCTTCTCTCTGAGAAACAAATGGGAGAGAAGTAGGGGACAACAACGTCAGTGCAGTCAGTGGGTGGGATCTGTCCGGGGTTCTCTCACTGCTGGCTTTGGCTGTACCTGTTAATGACATCATACGCCTCCTCAGTGCCAATGATGCAGAGTGCATTGACAGCGGCATACGTAGGTGCCAGGTGTGGGTACTGGCCAGGGCCCCCTCCAAAGCCACCTTCTGGACTTTGACACAGCTCCAGGAACTGACAAACACTAGGTACATAGCCAAAGGGAGAAACAACATCAGAGAGCATTCATTTCTTTTTTTTTTTAAAGATTTTTAAAATTTATTTTTATTTATTTATGTTTTATATCATTCTTCATTTTGTGCATTTTTTCATCTCGGCTGTAATCCCTGTGACTTTCCACCACCAATTTACCCGTGTTTCAAAACATCAAATTCCACCAGAGATGCCCTCCTCCCTCACTACCAGTGCACCCCTCTCCAGAAACAAACCACCCCCTTCCCTGAAAAGGGAAAAAATCTCTCCTGCCACCTAGTGAATATGTATTGAATACAGTTAACCTTTGCTATGGGCCTGTCTACCCTGTTAATAGTTTTGAATGCCCTGCTATTGAGTTTTATATTTAAGCACTCAACTGGTTGTGAAATAAGGGACATAGGCCAGGCAGAAACAAACAGCCTTTCGTAAAAATGGGGCAAGTCTCATGCTGCTTGACCAAATCCTTCCATACTTTTCACTCAATGTGCCACCTCAGATCTCTGGTACTGGCCCTTCTTGCTACTGGAACACCTCCCTGTCTCTGAATTTTGCCTCCCAAAGTGGTGGGGCTCATCTGTCCTTCCTGCACTAACCAACAGGCCGACCTCGAATGTTTAGAGAGAAGTCTTCTTGTTCCCATTGGAACCGAGGCTACTGATTTTCATTCAGAGACCAACAAGAAACAAGGTGTTACTGGAGGCAGCCTCCATGGTGAGGAGAACAAAAGAGCCTTGGCTTCTGTCGGTCACCTCAACAGTGTGAGCTTAACCGATGGCTGATCCAGATCACACTCGAGCACATCCTGGTCTGTGGATTCTTGGAGGATTTTTCACTCTAATCCAAAGAGGCTCCAGTTTCCCTCACTGAGGGAAACTTTGAGGACTTGCCTTCGAGTGAGGCATCAGCTTGCCCAGAAGTTACATTCTTGCTTTAGGAGAAACCAAGAGAGCCCTAGAGCTCTTCAGAGAGCCTCTGAAGCTCGGGACACAGACACCACAACGTGCTGGTTATCAAGTAGTTTCTCCAAAACGCAGCTGGGGCCACAGGCTTCCTGTTAGGAAAAGCCTCCAGCAAGAAGGCATGCTGGAAAACTGCGTTTTCCTCAGTGCCTGGGTGACTTTCTTTCCCTGGGTTTTTCATCCCATTCGTTCTGTCTACTGCTGCCAGGGAGACCACATAGGTTAGAGCTGAACTCCACAAAGGCATGTTCACTATTGCTTCCCCACATCATACTGGATTACTTCTGATTTCAGACCTTCCATTATCTGAGTAGGACAACAACAGAAAATGCCACTGATTTGCTAATGGAATCCCCAAATCTTCACAGGTTAAAAACAATACATATTTACTTCTACTTGCCCCTAAAATTTTGCTACAAGGAAACATAAGAATTGGAACAGAAACTGATAAGCAGAGAAGAAAGACAGTTGTGTGGCACATTTTTAATAGCAATCAATTTTCATAAGAAAAGGAGTTTTTCCCTAACATATTTTCCACATTTTCCTATTTCCCAAAACAAATAGCTCATCTTCTCCTGTCCTAACAGTCTGGCTGCACTAGCTTAGGTGAGTTTTCTGCATCACAAAACAAAAAGGTTCTAGCTGATGTAAAACCTAATGTAGGCACAGAAAAGTCACCTAGTTATCTATTCCCAATATAGGATCATGCTGACTACAACACTCCTGACCCCACAGCCTAAAGTCTGGGATGAGCTTGGATCTGAATGTCCCAGACACCTTTAAATCACTCCTCCATGCCAACCTTCCTCAGCTGACCTACTGCATCTGACTGTGGAGCTGTGAAGGGGACAGGGGTTGGGTTTTTCTTGACCCTCAGACACATGCAGATGGCAGGACATTCTGATCCAGAGGCTTTCCAACTTGCACCTAAAGGAACTGGCAAACTGACCACGAAGTCACCAGCTGTCATCAGCACAATTTCTAGCAATTCAAAAACCAACAAATGAGAGTAAGTTACAAAGCTAGAAAGATTACAGTGCTGGCAGCAGTAATAGTCATCCTTGAGCAGAATGGCTTAGGAGTAGAAGCAGAGGCAAGATGGACGAGTTGACATCAGGCTGTCTCTAAAACTAAGTCTTTGCAATTTCATTCTGTTAAACAGCTTCAGCTTCACAATATGGAGATGAAAACTCCACCCCCCCCCCCCCCCCCCCAGCACACAGCAATGAAGCCGTGAGAGACAGGCAGGCTCTCTTATGGACTCCAGGACTGTTGCCTGCCAAGTGTGATGTGGTATTTAACTCCTCTTCATTAAGTGCAGGCAGTCCTCTGGATGCTGCTATTTTGGAAGTGTTATCAAGGTCAAAGTTAGTAATTTCAGAGAAGGCTTTTTCCACTTGGGGTTGAATAACTCTTTATTGTGGGGACTGTCTATGGAAGGAATTTGGCAGCATCCCTGACGTCTACCTAGTAGATTAAGCTGCAGTATCTGGCTCCAAAAAATGCCCAGAAGAAAAATGACTAGATATGATGTCCTCATAGAAAGATGTAAGAACAAATTATATTTAAATTTAAATACTGAACATGGATGGACCTTAAGGGGATGGTACTAAGTGAAATAAGTCGAAAAAGAAGATAAATACTATATTATTTTACACATATATATGGAATAAAAGAAACAAGCAAGCAAGTAAACAAAACAAACCATTATATTCTAACAACAGAATGGTGGTTACCAGAGAGGAAGGGGTGGGGCTGGAGGGGCAGATAGAGGAGGTCCAATGGAAGGGGCTAGATCATAATGGGACCTTTGGTGGTGGGTGTGGTGTGAGACATGAGATGAAAAACTGTACACCTGAAACCTCAAAAAACCCAAAAAATTAAACGGAAAAATATTTAAGGAGTTATCCAGAGGACAAGCTCTTAATAACCTTTTGAAAGGGAATCAATTCTACATCCACATGGAAATCTGAAGTTATCACTGGATAAACATTATAAGCTGATTAGTCAGTCCTGAGATAATTTTTTTAAGTAAAAGACAATTTTTTTTTTTAAAGATTTATTTATTTGTGCATACAGAACTGGGGTACAGGCCAGAGGCTTAGGGGTGGCGAGAGGCTTCACCAGAGACAGAGTGGGGAGCAGAACAGGCAGATCGATGAAGTACACTGCTGAGGGGAGCAGCGGGCGTGCCAGGAGAGGTCTGCCACGCCATGTGGTCACCTCCGGGGCAGGTGGGAATCGAACTCATGTGGAAGCGGCTCTAGATTCTCAGTGCTGTGCTTCAACCCGCTACGCCACCAGGGAGGGCCCAAAAGACAATTTTTTTAAAAGATTTATTTATTTATACACACAGAACTGGGGTAGAGGCCAGAGGTGCAGGGGCAGTGAGAGAATTCACCAGAGAGACAGTGGGGAACAGAACAGGCAGACTGACCAAGTTCACTGCTGAGGGGAGCAATGGGCGGGTCAGGAGAGGTCTGTTGTGCCATGTGGGTCACCTCTGGGGTGGGGATAGAACTTATGCTAAAGTGGCTTTAGCTTCTTAGTGCTGTGCTTTAACCCGCTGCGCCACCAGGGAGGGCCCAGGTTAAAGATAATTTTTAATCTTAAAACTTTTACAAAGCAAAAAACCTGACTGTACCAGTGCAGTGTCACTTTCATTTTATCCTGTGTTTTTCATTTAAGTAGCTTTCAATAACAAAGTATGGGATTCTCATTAAAGGATGCTTCCTTCACTGTGAAAACTATTAAGGAAAGCAGTACTCTTGGGCTAGTGCCCAAATACTGATTTCTTTTAGGTAACTATATGTATAAATTTGAGGCTACACTCTTAAGAGAAGCGTGCTGAACTCCTTCCTATGGAAGTTTATATTCGTCACAGGTCTGGACCAGCAGTAACAGCCTGGTCTTGTGGGCTTGGGTCAGCAGACATGGTAACTGACAAAAGTGATTTTGTCCACTAGAGGGAACTCAGCTTGTCTCATTGTTCCTAAACAAACAGAAGCACAACAATCAACAAAACAGGAGAGAGAAACCTCTGTGTGTGCTGAGCCAGCAGGTGATGCACACTAGGTAGGGGAATGGAGCCCCAGGGAAGGAAGAAAACAGAACTCAAGTGCATTAAGTTCTCTGCCTGTATAAGGGGGTGAAGGAGGGAAAAACAACCTGACCACATTTTCAAAGTATTTCTTTATACACTTTGGCGATAAACTTATCAGGTAGTTTAAAAGAATAATCCCCATGTTTTATTAGAAGCCATTAAAAACTGTCTATGGGCCGTCCCTGATGGACAGCCACTGTGGCAAGAGTTCGATCTCCTGCCAGGGAGGTGACCCACATGGCTCAGCAGACCTCTCCTGACCCACCTGCTGTTCCCCTCAGCAGTGTATTTCAGTGGATCTACCTGTTCTGCTCCCCTCTCTGTCTCTAGTGAATTCTTTCACCCTTTCTCCCCACCCTGGCTTGTCCTCCATTTCTTATGCGCATAAATAAGTAGATCTTTAAAAAAAATTGTCTTACAGGTCAGAACTACAAGTCTCTGTTCACAATGGTGTTATTATCTGCACCTAGAATTATTTTCACCTACTAGCCACAAATCAAAATGCATTACTGAAAAGTCTAAATTCTTTAAAATGTTCAAAACCACGGATAATTTTTTTAAGGTTACTATGAAGAAGAAATTTTCATTCATTCACTATCAAGTGATACTTGAAATTAGGACAAATCAGCTTTTTATTTTTTAAATATTCTTTTAAAGCAGTAAGATCATTGTAGAAATTTTAGAAAATATGGGGCCTCCCTGTAGCTCAGGGGTCAAAGTGTCAGGGCTATCAAACTATAGCCAACCACTGCAGCATGAGTTCCATTCAGGCCAGGGAACTGACCCACATGGCGCAGAGACCTCTCCTGTCTCACCAGCTGCTCCCCTCAGCAGTGTATTTCAGTACACTGCTCTTTTCTGCTGCCTACCCTGTCTCTGGTGAATCCTCTCACACACACATCCCAACTAGCCTGCACCTCTGGCCTATACTCCAGTTTCTGTACGCATAAATAAATCTTTTTTTAAAACCCAAAAATGCAAATAAGTTAGAAAAGAAAAGACAGAAATCACCTTTAACTTTATCATGCAGAAATAACTAATCCCAGCTGTGAATATATACCTTCTAGTTTTTTTTCTATGCACATAGTCATCTATATTTTTAATCTATAAAAGTTGAATCTTTTTAACTTTTTTTTCACTTAAACCACAAACACCTCTCCACATTTATATGCAAATATACATTCTTTACATTCCACATATATAAATTGAAATGGCTATTGTGTGTTTCCTTATATGTACTATACCAGAATTTGCCTAACTTTTAAATGCATTTTAAAGCACCCCGTACTGTTGATATTTAGGTTGCCTTCAACCTTTCACTATGAAATAGCTCTCAGAGGATCTTCTCTTTCTATCCAATTTACACAAAAGCAGTTCTGACACTTACCTCAGAAAAGCCTTGCCCATAAGACATAATGGTGGCCTGGGGGTTATGTCTCAGCACTATTACCATCATGGCCTGAGTTGGATCTGGCTGGGGAGGTGACCCATATGGCTCAGCAGACCTTTCCTGACCCACCTGCTGCTCCCCTCAGCAGGGTATTTCAGTAGATCTGCCTGTTCTGCTCCCCACTTTGTCTCTGGTGAATCCTCGCTCCCCCTGCACCTCTAGCCTTCACCCCAGGCCTTCTACAAAATAAATAAAATCTTTAAAAAAAAAAAAAAAAGACAAGTATACAACCTAGAAAAAACTCCTTATCACTATCTTTCCACTTCAAATTGGTCCTCGTCCTCCCTCGGGATGGGGGTGGGGTGGGATCTGTACTTCATTCTCACAGAATCCTCTCATTTCTTTGTTCTTCTCTCATACCCTACTTTTCCCATCCCCTTAGTGTACATCCTGATTGTATGTATGTATGGGGAGGGGGGAGGGGGGCTTCTCAACAATCCACAATCCCCAACAGATATTTCAAAAACACATAGGCCTTTATTTTGACAATCAGATTTCTGTTACTGCAGAAACTGTATCCAACTCCACTTCCAGAGCCAGAAGCATTGAGGCAGCAGCCTTGTGATGACGGAGACAATGCACAGTCTCCCTCCGCCTCAGAAACTATCATCCACATTACAAGGGTTGATGGCCTAATTCTTTATTATTTTCCCTATCCACAGTCACTGGCAGACATCCTGCCCAGGAAGGCAAGGATGAGAGGTTATTGTTATGACAGAATGAATGAGACAATGTGGGGTTCTGTTCTTCTGACCTGACAATGTGACCACGGAGGGGGCCACCTCCTCGCATTCTGGCACAGCTGCCTCTCAGGCATGCAAAACAGAAACCTGGCTAGGGTCCCCCTCACAGGACCCCTCCCTCAGGAGCAGCTGGATGAGCTCAAGGAAGGTGCTCTCTCTTGTGAGAACTGACATTACACCCTATTCCTGGCCACCTTGTGCTATCCCAAGCATCCCGAACACTGGAGTAGTGATCATTTTCTTAAAAATATAAACCACAACGAGTTTCCAAGAATGGGCTGCCACAGAGAGAACACCACAGCACCAGCATTTTCGGAAGAATATGTTATTTGCTTGGTCTCTAATCCTAAGCCAGGGGTTTGAGAGAATCGTGAGTCACAGCATTTGCCACCAAGACATTAACAATCCAGTGCCATCAAGAGCTACACAACCTCAGGCGTTGGTGAGGAGACTTCTGTGGAGGTGTTTATGGGAGGCAAAGACATTTTTGTTCACTGGGTAGGCAAACACTTCCCCACACGAGCTATTCAAATGCATATTGTACTTTCTGGCAAAATGATGCCTCTCAGAGTTGATGATGAGGATTTTTCTCAAAGACCGGAGCGAGAGCCAAAAGAAAAGGCCATAGAATTCACCAGAATCTTTCTCTTGAGAGTTCAAAGTCTTGTTCTACCCACGAGCTTACAACAGGCTTCTCAAGTGGAGGAGTTTCAGGAAGTTACTGGAGGTCATGAGAAGGGCGAGGACTTCTCTGGAGCACTGTTTTTCCATTCAAAATAATAAATCGGCAACAGAGACACAACAAAAGGAACCCCAACCCAAATACAGTCTCAGAGGACACCTCTGGGGCCCAGAGGCCAGACTCACTCTGTGGCCACCATCTGGGGGATGGGTTCCTCTAGCAGCTCCAAGCTGTGCAGGATCCAGTAGCAGAGCCATGGGCGGCTGGCATCCAGACACTGTGGAAGGGACAGGGGAGACAACACACCCCTTATTCAGAATCATTCCAAGACACTGCTGACAAGGCGACATCTGTCTCAATCTCAGCAGCCTGGCCGGGGGAGGGCACCCAATGAACAACAATCAGTGAATGACAGATGCTCTGCTTTGTGGTCTTAGCCAGAAGCTGAAATGAGCATATGTAAGGAAAGGACAATGGGACAAAGAAATTTACCTTGAACCCAATGGGTCCTTCCCAGGAGGCATCTAAGGAAGGCAGAGCAGAGGACTTCTCACATGCCAGGAAGTTAAGTGCTGCTATGTTCTCAGTGTAGACCCAAGGAGATAAGTAACCTCAAGAAGGGATTCCTGAATTAACTCATTTATTGATTCAACAAATACTTAGTAAGAACCTACTTGTGCCAAGCACTGAATTAGCTAGTGGGGGCACAAGGATGAAAAAATTCAGTTCCTCTTCTTGAGATTCTTGGGACATAGAGTGTGTGTGGTTATCTGTGGAGGAAGAGGGCACTAGACAGAAACATAAGTACAGGTTATCTTATGTTTTTCTGGAACTAGGCAGAACATAACACATGCATATTATATATACATATATATGTATACCGGGATAAATTCTGTAACAGGCACTTACACTGTGGAAGGGACAGGGGAGACAACACACCCCTTGTTCACACCCCTTATTCCTGAGGGAGCGTGTGAAAGAGATTGACTAATTCTGCCTGAAGGAGCTTGAAAAGGTTTCCAAGGGTGCTATGTGAATAGACCATGATCCGAATTCAAGCCATAACCATTTATTGAAGGTTCAAAGATAGACAGGCAGGTGTTAAAAGTATACAAATGAGGTACAGAGAGACAAACTTTTTCCAAATCATAAATATAGTAAATGTCAGAGCTGAGACAAGAATCCAAGTTTCTGAATTCCCAATCCAATACTCCTTCCACTGGCTCAAACTGCCCTCTTCATAAATAGCTGACCATCCCAAGCTGGGCTAGCTCCCCGCTTGTGGGCTTGAGGGCAGCTGGAAAGGTGACCAGAAGGAATCTGGCCTGCCTAGACTGGAGTCCCAGCTCCTCCCCTCACTAGCTATATGTTTTTGAGCCAGTTACTTAATCTTGCTATGTCTTTCCTTATTTACAAAAAATACTTACCAACTTCATGGAGTATTGGTGAAAGTTAATTGAGATAATGCCCAGTATGCTTCTAGTACACTGCTCAAAACTGTTACCTGTTAGAGTGGCAGTGTGACAAGACCCTCGCCATGGAGGACTCGAGTCAGGGCTGAAAGCTGACAGCCCTCAAGCCAAACAGATGACCATGGGTATGTTGTGCTTGCTCCCTAGTGTTTGGTTTGCTTAGCTGGAATTGGTTGCAACATTTAAGCACTGGGAGACTCACATAGAAATCTGGATTTCTGGCTTGGAAAACAAAGAGAAGGATGCATGTAACCTTGGGTCTGTGACTGAACAGCAACTGGCCGGAACAGAGTAAAAGCCTGGGGCATCTAGTTAACTTCAGTCTTCTCTCAGCCCACTTTCTCTAACTTATGCTATCTGCTTGAATCGGCTAACTCTAATCAAATGTAGAACCCCAAAATAAAAAGCAAATTAAAAACTGGGCTGCTCTGTGCAAAGTGGGGCAAGAAGATTGGAGCCCCCTTAATCACCTTCATTCTTTACCGGCTACTTAGCTCCATTCCCAACATCCCCACCCCCCACCAATGACACCACAGCCCTTCCCCAAAACCCCTTAGTGGAATCCATGACTCTGAAGAACAGGCCTTAAAATTTACTCTAAGTTTGGGCATTTTTACAGTGTTAAACTGCAGAGTATTCTCTGGGATTTACACACAAATCATTTGGTCAGCACAGAAACTGGGTCCGTTTATTGGGCAAAGAGTCAGTGATAAACTAGTTAGCTGTCACGGGATATCTAGATGAAAAATAAGTGAACCCCTCAGTCATGATCTAATGGCAGAAGAAAGCCACATGCGGGGCTCCACTGGCCTCGAGGGGAGGACGAGACTGGAGCAGCCTTAGTTCAGGAAGTGGGAGTCTCAGCTCTGTGGGCCCTGGTTCCCATGCTCCCAATTCCTGTCAGAGCCACATGGCACAATGAGCAAATCTACAGCAGGTCAGGCCCCTATGCCTTTTCTATTCAAATAGAAAAGAGGAGAAAGAGCTGGCTGGTAATGTGACAGAAAGAGTTCCTGGCCTGGGTGCTTACCTCATAGGCATCTGTTAGCTGTCGAAGGCCTCTTTTCAGATAATGGAAGTGCTTCTCCCTCTGCAAAATAAGCCTAGAAAGACAAAGAGTTTGTAAACCTAGTTTAGTAGCTTATGTTTCCATCCACTTCAGAATGGGGGCACCCACTTCCATATGCACACACTCACTCTCAGTTTCAGAACTTCCCCTAAGGCAGAGCAAGAGGCCAGCATCTGAACTGTCCACAAAGTATCATACTGGCAAATGTTTTGAGATCCTCTCCGGGCAGGTGACTTTGGGCTAAGTGAAGAGCCACAATGAATACACACAACCAGACAGTGACAAGCCACCCAGAAACTTACATCTGTGGCTCCTCATTCTGGAAGTAACTGAAGTCTATGTCTCACCTCTTACCTAACTTGATTCACCTCTACCATCCCAGTCATCTCTTCTGGGGTCATTCCTCTGAGGGCTGTAGTTTGTACCCTGCCTGTCCCTCAGTCATCCTTCCATTATTCCCTCCCCGAAATTCCACCACCCACATGCTGACCCAAGCCCCAGCTGGAGGACCATGCTTGCACTCCGCTGACAGTGGTTCTGAGATGGAATGTGCCGCCCATGGCCACCTGCACAGGCAGGGTGAAGGACACAGAAGGCCTGTGTGACTTCAGAAGAAAAGGGAAAGAACAGAATGTTAAGGCATGCACTGTGCTTGTGCTTACAGAAATAAAAGGAAAGAAAAACCATTCTTTTTCTAGATATTCAACAATTGCTTGTTGAACTCATTCTGTGCTGCGCACAGAATAAGATCAGGAGTGTGGTCTTTACCTCAGAAAAGCCTTCAATTCAGAACTGGAAATAAATGGCCATAATACACAGCTTCATAAAGGAAAAGCATAACGTATTACTGAGTCCCTCATGGGAGGGAGACATCTCGTTAAGAAAGTTTTTGTGGAAGAGGTAGAATCTGGGTTGGATAATCTGGGTAAAGAGAGAGAATCTTCATAGGTAGAGGCAGTGAGGAGGGAAGACGGGAAAGGAAGGAATGGAATGAAACAGAATGGTGCAGTGAGCCCAGAGAACCCCAGGAGTGATGGAAGTGCCCTTCACCTGTGCTGACATCAGGGCCCACCAGCCACAGGTGGCTGGTGGGCACTTCCAGGGTGCCGGTGGAGCTACACAACTGAAGTTTGTGTTTTATTTCATTTTAATGAATTTACATTTAAACTGCTGCTGGTGGCTACAGGCCACCACAGGTATGAGCCATACAAGAGGAGTGAGGGGAGGGGTTGGGCCTGATATTTTAGGGTTGAAAGAGGAATGGTTGAAAAGGCCCCTTTTTATAGGGGCCTGGAAGACCAGCTGGAGAATTGAACTAAATTTAATAGGCAAAGGGAAGTCCTGGAGGTTTTGAGGTGAGAAAAAATAGCCAGGACTTTGCTTTAGAAAAAAATATCAAAACAGTATGGTAGTGGAACAAAAACAGAAACTCAGATCAATGGGACAGAATTGAAAGCCCAGAAATAAATCCATATAAATATTGATAGCTAACTTTCAACAAAAGAAATTATGCCCAAACACCGGAGAAAAGACAGCTTTTTTAATAAATGGTGCTGGGAAACATGCATAGATACATGCAAAAAAAAATAGATAAATCAAACAAGATCAACATTTAGCACCATAAAGGGAAGTTAACACAAAATGAATTAAAGATTTCAACAGAAACCATAAAGTACATAAAGGAAATATAGGAGGCACACTTCAGGACATCTACCACAGATATATTGGGAACTACAATGCCAATAGCAAGTGGGGAAAAAAACAGAAATAAGCAAATGAGGCTATCAAATTCAAAATGTTTGTACCTCAAAAGAAATCATCACAAAAACAAAAACGCAAACTACAGAATGGGAAAAAACAGCTGCAAGTCACACATGTGCCAAGGCGTTAACTCCAAAATTTACAGAGCACTTACACAGTCCAGCAGCAAAGAAGCAGCCTAGTGAAGAAAGAAGCAAAGGACCTCAATGCACACTCCTCTAAAGAAAACGTCCAGATGGCCTACCTACCAGCATGAAAAGATGTTCACTGCCATTATTGTGGGAGAAATGCAAATTAAAGCCACGTGGAGATGTCACCTCCCCCTGTGAGGATGGTCCATACAAAAAAGGATGGAGTTAGTAAGCGTTGGTAAGGTTGCAGGGAAAATGGAACTTTCATCCACCATTGGTGGGACTGCAAACTGGTACAACCCCTGTGGAGAACGGCATGGAGATTTCCCAAGAAAATAAAAATGTAAATCCCATTTGAGTCAGCAATACCACTACTAGGTATTTATTTTTTAAAAAACATGGAAAATCTAATACGAAAAGAATGTGCATCTGTGCATAGCAACACTGTTCACAATTGCCAAACCATGGAACTAATCTAAGTGCCCTTCACCAGATGAATGGAGAGAGAAACTGTGGTGCATGTATTTAATGATATATTCCACAGCTGTGAAGAAAGATGAAACTGGTATTTGGGCCAAAATGGATGGATCTTGAGGTCATTATGCTGAGTGAGATCAATCAACAAGTGAAAGATTTTAGATGGTCTCACTTATCTGAAGTATATAAATCCCCCTCCTCAACAAATAGCAATTACACATGAACAATAGAAGAAATTTAAAAATTGGTAAAAAAAAAAAAAAATGTTACCAAAGGGAATAGGGAAGAGGGTATAGGGTAGGAAGCAGATGGGACTCTAGTGTCTGGGTAGAGGGAGAAGAAAATGATCTGACAGCAGTAGGTATTTGTTTTTTAAATATTTTTTTAAATTTATGCATACAGAGGCCCTCCCTGGTGGCGCAGCGGGTTAAAGCACAGCACTGAGAAGCTTAAGCCACTTCCACATGAGTTCGATCCCCGCCTGCCCCGGAGGAGACCACATGGCGCGGCAGACCTCTCCTGCCCGCCCGCTGCTCCCCTCAGCAGTGTACTTCGTTGATCTGCCTGTTCTGCTCCCCACTCTGTCTCTGGTGAAGCCTCTCACCCTCTGCATCTCTGGCCTGTACCCCAGTTCTATATGAATAAATAAATCTTTAAAAAAAATTTATGCATACAGAACTGGGGTACAGGCCAGAGGTGCTGGGGAGGTGAGAAGATTCACCAGAGACAGAGCGGGTAGCAGAACAGGCACTGACGAAGTACACTGCTGAGGGGAGCAGCGGGCAAGACAGGAGAGGTCTGCTGTGCCATGTGAATCTGAGGGGCCGGGGATCGAACTTGCACTGAAGTGGCTGAGGCTAGCTTGCAGTGCTGCATCCTAACCTGTTGTGCCACCAGGGAGGGCCAGCATTAAGTATTTATGTATTTACACACTGGACTAATCAAAGCACTAAGTTGGAGAGAGATGAGGCAGGAAGACTGGGTAGATGTTGAAAGGCAACCAGATTGGAAGTACTTAGAGCTTATAGGGCTCAAACTACATAGCACCATGACCCAGGATCTGCTGACTTCATAGGAAGTGCATTCAGGCAAGCTAGCAAGCACACTTGGAAACACATGTGAGACTCAGGAGAGGGATCCTAAGAAGCATTCTTTGGTGCGCAGGTGAGCACAGCAAAAGAGTCTGAATGCAGAACTGGATGCAAAGGTCCGTCTTTAAAAGCTTGGAGGAGGACAAGGAACCAAAGGAGAAAAATAATGTTACAAAGGCAGTGTGTTGTCAGGCAACAGAGGAGAGAATTTCACAGAAATACTTAACAGTGGCGAAGGCTGAAGCAAGATTAAGGGAAAGAGACAAGCCACGAAGTGGCAGATGACATTCCGGAGAATTGAGGGAGTGGGAGGGGAGAGTCCAGGTTGCAAAGAAGTGGAGAAAACCAGACTTGATTTCCCAAGGGGGTCCCTGGTAGGACTCAGCAAGCACACTTTCTATACAGGCCAAGTATCCGGCACTGAGGTAGATGCTATCTCTGCTCCATAGATGCCTTGCAACTTTCCCAGGCTAGGTAGGTTCATCATCAGTTCTAGCAATTTAAAGAAAAGAAAAAAAAAACAGACTTTTTTTTTTAAACCCTTGGCATTATTTTCCCAGGATTTAATGGTAATCAGAGGAAACAAACTGGCAGGGAGATAGCAACTTGAGCCCCCTTAGCCAGGATGACACCGCTCTTTTACCCCCTTCTTCCTAGGCAAAGGTGGGCTTCTTGCACATGGGCACACGCCCATACTCAGGTGTCCATAACTAGGCACGTGGGCGCCACGCCCAAGCCTTTCTATGCTATATTACAGTCTTGTCTGACAGGTACTGTGAGCAGGGGAGACATGGAGGATCAGAAGAAGATTCCTAAAGGCTAAGGCCTGAAAGACACGAGTTAGCCAGCAACATGAAGGGGGTGGGAAGGGTATTTCATGCAATGGAACAGTGAGGCACATTCAAGTAAGTAGCATGGCCGAAGCAAAAACACAGGGCAATGAGCTGTGTGAAGTCATGCTGGAGAGGTACAGACGTGTCAGGAGCTGTAAATGCACTGGGAGCTTGATTTTAAACCAAAAGCAAAGGAGTCACTGTGTTACAACAAAGATGAGCCTTGAAAACACTATGCTAAGTGAAGGAAGCCAATCTCAAAGGACCATATGTGTGATTTCATTTATATACAGAACAGGCAAATCCACAGAGACAGAAGCTGGATTAAGTGTTTGCCAGGGAATTGAGGGGTGATGGCTAAATCCCCATTCCTTTGGGGATGATGAGTTTTAAAATTGTATGTGATGATGGTTGCACAACTCCATGAATACACTAAAAGCCAATGACTTGTATACTTTGTGGGTGAATTAATATGATAATGAATTATATCTCATTAAAGCTATGACCCAAAAAATAAAGACAAAAAATTTTAAGGGAATCATAGAACTCTTTCAGGCACCAGAAAGATGTAGTCATATCTGCATTTTCTAGGCATATTTGCTAATATAATACTGGTAACAATGATACTGATAACACTTTTCAAAAAGAAAAAAGAAAACACAATCCAAAAGTTCTTTAGGATGGACCACATTGCTCCAAGACAGGACATACATTTCACAGTCTTAGAGATCAGAAATCATTTCTGGAAAAGGGAATAATGGCAAAATGGGTCTACATTCCATTTTAGCCTTGAATCTATTTGGCTCCAACCCTAGAAAATTGAACAGGCAAATGCCTCTCTCAGCATCATTCCTGGCATCTCAGGACCTGGGGCATGGTTGGTGGTCCTGGGAGTGTGTGTGAGTCCATCACAACTGATCAACATCATGACCTCAGAAAACAAGCCATGTCATCCTGACTTATTACCTGGACATTTACTTTAGTGAACAATGAAGATCTATTCCTGCACCATTAGATCAGCTTTTAAAATTTGACTACCAAAATGTTAAATATTGAAACTGTGATAACTTAAAATTCTGATAAGCCTTCAGGTTAATTTTTCTAGGATATTTACATCCTAGAAGTTCATCTTAAGATGGAGAAGTTCAGCCTCTGCCTTCTACTGCTATCTGGAGTTACAGATTCAACCATCCAGTCAAATGTGTGATCTCACTAATATTAATTAGCATGTTGTAACATATGATAATTAGCATCTCTTAAAGCACTTGTTTTCATAGGTAACAATGATAAAATGGGAATTGTCAGATTCTTAAAATAAACTATTCTAGTTCCTCAAAGGCTCCAAACCCTTTTTGGAACATTTTTGTTTTCCTCCCACACCTGACCTAAGACTTATGAATTAGGGAATTTTACTCCTTTATGGTACTCTGCTACCAGCCCCAAACACAACAGCACCTTCTCCCAGGCTATAGTCTCCCGTTTTTGTTTTCCCTCATATCTCAGGAAGAATAAAAGTTCAAGAGCTCTATTTGGATGGAGAGTACAAAAGAATGGCCAATGATCAAAGGTCCTTTTGGAAGCCAGTACATGTTCACAGCCCGCAGAGAGCAGACAGTGACTCAGGTTAGTCACAGTGGAGAGGCCCTGCTCTCCACAAAGCCCCCTGAAGCAATCATACCCCTCACCATCATCATGTCCTGCCACCTCTGGGGAATATACCCTGTAACAGGCAGAGATTTCACTCCCCCAGCGCTTTTTAACAAGAGATGTGATCTACTAATCTCCAGCTGTGGCTCATGACAAGACCAATCATTCATTTATTGAGGCTGCGTTTTGGGTCGTTTCAGAGATTTAGTTTAGCAATTTGGGGTAAGATTCGCTAGCTGGTTTATATTTTCCTTCCTCCGGGAAGAAAGATGAAGATAACCTTTCCCCGCCCTGTCTTTTCCTTTTTCCAATTACCTTTTCCAGGGTTTACTACCTTAGCTAATCTGAAGTTTCTGAAAGCTTTTTTTTTTTTATTTTTTGTGAGTGGAACAATAGAATGGTGGTTAAAAAAAAAAAAGACACAAAGCTAATTCAGACTAGTATCATTTGTAATGTTCCGGTAAGTAGAAGTACCAAGAGGCTGAAGTTCCAGGAGCTAGTCTATGAGGGCTCTGCAAGCTGGAGACATGATGAATGGGTTGGCTGGACTTCAGACTCTTTGGTTTCTTGTCCAGAGTGAATCAGCCAGCAGCCTAACTATACTTTGTCCAGAGACCGCCAAGGAAAATGGCTGCATCATTAAGACAAAATGATGACACACATAATTTTGGGCTACTAGTCAGCTCTGATGGCTGGGGAGTTTTGATGGTTCAGAGAAACAATTTGTGATTAGAAGAGAAATGATAACCAAAGAATGAAATAACCTTATGAAGCTCTAATGTGGTACATTAAAAAACTATAAAGGAAAAGAGAAAATAAAGGTTCAGACTAACCATGTTTTGGCTTAGAATCCCCTTTTTGGAATTTCTGACATCAAAGAACTGAGAAGGCTTCGACTTGCTGAGCGCCAAGAAAAACAAAAGGCAAGTGTTTCATGTGAAACTTCATCCTTGAGACCTGCCACACAGCTCCAACAAGGGCCAGGCTGGGAGAAACTCAAATCTCAGATCTTTCCAGTCAAATCATAATACACATCAACGGAATCCATCCTGCGCCATCCCGATGGCCTCTACGTCTGTTTCAAAGTGTAATATGAAAAAGAAGGGCTTGGGAGCCATGTGGTCTGAGCAGCAAGTGACAACTAGGCAGCTAAAACCTGAACTTCCTCTTGTCCTGAGGCTTCAGAGCTAGAGCCAAGGGGTGGCCCCACGTACCACGTGACACCCCATGCAGGTAGAGCCACTCCTCCACATAGTACTCTACTACTATTAGGGTAACAGAGGAGGGAGTCAGGGCTCCGAGCATATCCAGGTATCACCGGTCAAAAAACACCAGTCTCATAGCAGCTTTATTCCTTTTGGTTCCCTAAGTTCCAGGAAGAACAAGAAAGGCTCCCAAAGGAGGAGGCATCTCCAGATCCCCTCAAACTCCTAACCACAGCTTACCTGGGTACAAGGTGGTTGAACTTGTAAGAACTGAAGACCTCTTGGATCCTTTCTTCTACTTTTGCCTAATAAGGATGCAGGAAGAGGAGAGAGAAAATAAATACAGATGAGACCTCTATTTACTACTTCTACAAATGCCTATTAGCTAGAGTTGTTCGGTGTGGTTTATACTTTATGGTATTGTAGACTACATTCAGGGACTCTACTGGACAAGGAGACAGACAGCGAGAGAATGTCCCGAACCCTGCTGGCATCACAATCAACTTCTCCAGTAAACAAATCCATAGCATCCAAACTGATGGTAGTTTTGGGGTTTGGCTTCCTGGCACTGGTTACTCAGGGAGCATAAACATGCATTTTTTTAATGTATACTGAAATGGGGTACAGGACAGAGGTGCAGGGGTGGTGAGAAAATTCACCAGAAACAGAGTTGGGAGCAGAGTAGGCAGATCAACGAAGTACACTGCTGAGGGGAGCAGTGGGCAGGTCAGGAGAGGTCTGCCGTGCCATGTGGATCACCTCCGGGGCCAGGGATCGAACTCGCACTGAGGTGGCCAGGGCTTGGCTTAGCTTCACAGTGCAGTGTTCCAGTCTGCTGCACCACCAGGGAGGGCCCCAAACATACATTTTTCTTGAGAGATTTACTCTTGTATACTCTATGAAATTGTTCAGGTGTTCATTAACTGGTTATTCTCAAGTACACAACTAATTCTTGCCAAGCATCATACTACTTATTGTCTGATTAAACAGTTTAAATACAGATTGAATTTTATTAAAATCTCCTAAGGGATTTATAAGAACATCTGGTCACACAGAAAAGTTCACAGTACTATAAAACAAAGGATCTCAGAAAGCCAGGTTGCAAAAGAAACCAGACCACCTGCCTCCTCTGAAGACCACCTGCCTCCTCTGAAGACCACAAGAGAACACGGTTTACGGTTTACACAGTACAGCTTCTGTAAGGAAGGGGTATGACAACGTGGGAGGGGGGTTGTTGATAGGATACAGCCTTTAGCCTTCATTTGCATCCTGCTCTTTATGGGCAGGCATGTCCTACTTGAGATTTCAAGATACATAATATTATCCCTACTGGGAAATTTCAAAAATGTATTATTTATTTCTGAGACACCCACAGAGCTAGAACTTCTAGTCCCCTTTGACAAGTGTGCAAGAATTATTTGTGATGATGGAGGAGCAGTGATGTGAATCATCTTAAATGTCAGCAAATCTAAAATTCATTTATATTTGGTTTTAGGATATGCTTTTGTATTTGTCTTTGAACATGAGTTTGAGGGGTGATCTGGCTATGAATTTACAATACTTAAAAAATAGATTGAAGCTTCTGTGAGAACCTGGCTCAAGAAGAATAAGAAAGTTGTCCCAGATTCTTCACAATTCTTTTTCCATTCTAGACACTCACATGAGACTAATATAAAGCACCAGCCTAAATGGAACACAGACTGTATTTCTCAAACATTCCTGCCTCAGCTATAAGCAGAAAAGGATAGAAAAATACATAAGAAACATCTGTCAGTAAAATCACTAAATAAAGATTGCCTATAGTATGCTGTTATAGCTAAGTGAATTGATGAATTCAGAATGAAGCAAAACCTAGTACGAGGAAAACACACTTTTCTGCCCAAATACAAGCAGATTCAAAAACATATGACTGAATAATATTCAGACGTTAATGGATGAGCCCTCGTTCTTAGCATCCCGACACCTAGACATATAGGGAAAAAGGTTCTTGCTTCCAGTCAAGAAGTCCTTAAAGAAGCCTTACCTGGGCGCTCCCCGTTGGCACAACGGGTTAAAGCACAGCACTGCAAGCTGGCTGCAGCCACGTCAGTGGGAGTCCGATCCCCGGCCCTGGAGGTGACCCACATGGCACAGGAGACCTCTCCAGGCCCACCCCTCAGCAGTGTACTTCATCAAGCTGCCTGTTCTGCTCCCCACCCTGTCTCTGGTGAATCCTCTTACCTCCCCTGCACCTCTCACCTGTACCCCAGTTCTTTATGCATAAATAAATAAATCTTAAAAAAAAAAAAAAGAAGAAGATTCACCCTCAGCACCCAATTGGGCAACACAAGAAGCCCAGTACTAGATGAGGAAAATGGAAGTTAAGTTCTTAGCTAAGATACATGACAGAAACATACAGGTATGTCATCCTACAAAGCAAAAGGCTCTGTATATTTCCAACATAGGGCCATTTCTCTTTGGATTTCCTAACTATCCTCATTCTGAATGCATTTGTGATACTCTCATGCAGTTAGTAATTACCTCATGACTGAAAATATAACTTACAAATTCTAATAAATGGAATATACAAATAATTCACTTTATTTTCTCTTAAAAACTGATATATTTGTCTAATAGTTTTATCGAGGTATATAATTCATAAGCCAATCAATTCACCGATTTAAAGTGTATAATTAAAAAAATAATAAAGCATCTGATCCAATAGCTTTTAGTTTTTTCAGAGACTTGGGAATTCATCAGTGCAATCAATTTTAAAATATTTCCACTGTGATCAAAATAAAGCTGGCACCCCTTAGCTAGCTTTCACCTCCAATCCCTATCCTTCTCTATCCTTGTCAACCACTAATCTACTTTCTATAAATCAATAAATCTGCTTTTTCTAGATAGCTGACATAAATGGAATCACAGACCTCTTTGAGTTGGCATGTGTTCAAGCCTTATTCATGGCAGCATGTATCAGTAATTCATTTTCTATAGGCAGGTAGTATTTCGCCATTCCTAGAACTGATAGGAGTAACTCACTGTGTCTAACCTACAAAAATAATTGGCTTATACTAAACAGTTACTTTCCTTCTGGAAGCCTGGAATTTTGAGAAGCACTAGGCAGAAGTTGCCTCTGTGACCAGCCCCAATAGATACCATGAGAACCACGTCTCTAAGGAGCTTCCTTTATAGACAACACATTGCATGAGTTATTCGGAACAGTTCAGTGCTGGAGGAATTAAGCGTGTCCTGTGTGACTCCACTGGGAGAAGACTCTTGGAAGTTTGTGCTGGTTTCCTCCAGACTTCACCCCAGGAGGCTTTTTTCCCTTCGTTGATTTTCTTTGGTGCCTTTTGCCATCATAAATCATAACCACGAGTATGAAAAAATGCTGAGTTGCCTGGATCCTTATAATACCTAGGGGTGATCTTGAGACATCCAGCACATTAGGAAGTTTAGAAATTTAGCCTTTGGAACAATTAAGGGAAGGAGTCACAACAATTGCCTCATGTCTAGAGCTAAGTTCTATAATTAAATTCCTGTCTGAAAATTGATGAAAATCCTCACCTCAGTTCTAAAGGAGAATTGAGGTAACTATTTAAAAACAATTACCTAAGTTACCAAACACTATATAGTTCTCAAGTCAAAATTCAAAACCACAAATCCGCTTCAATACAAAAATGCGAAAACAGGTTCCATTTTCCCTGCTTCATTTTTATGTTTAATTTCTATCCCAAAGGAACATACTCTTCTATTCTGGTCTATCTTTCCTTTCTGCTTGAGAACCCCCACAGGCAGGACAGTTACCAACTGGGTACAATAGAAACACTGATTAACAGCTCCATAACAACAGATAATTTTCTTTTGCATAAATAGCAAAGGGCCCATAGGTTCATTTCCCTTGGGTACAGGGCACACAGTTCTTAACCATGTTAATGAAAGTGATACAGCTCTCTTGGGAGGAAGATGACAGCCTTAAGTATCTGATCTGTTTCAGAAACATTGCTACCTGAAAAGTAACAAGAAAGATCAACAGGATTAGTCACCAGAAGATTCAGTCCCAAGGGACTGAGTCTTCAAAAATTTTGAAACAGTCTGAAATAAAGGAACTTTGGTTGGATCAACATACACAAACACCCCCATACACTATCTATCTATCTCTGTATCTAGCTCTTTATATATCTTTATGTATAGTTATCTATCGCTATATAGATAGATATCAATATCGATCTATAGATCTATAGGTAGATAGATAGAAATTAAAAACTGGATATTAAATGGTAATAGAATTATCATTTATTTTCTTAACTATGATGTTATAGTTCTTATGTAAAAGAATGTCATTCTTAGGAGATGCATTCTTTATTACTTTGGGGTGTCATGATGTTTCCATCTTACTTTCAAAGGTTCAGAAAAAAAGTATTCCTATATATGTACATATACACAGTGGAAAAATTGTCCTCACTATATTACCTATTCAGTTATCTCCATCTAATTCACAACTCTGTAAAGAAAGAAGATAATGTGTAGAAAACTGATAGTAATACAAATAATCTCTGTCCACAAAATGCAAATTATTGTTAGTAAAATGCAATTAATTATCACTCAGTGGACACTGACCAGTTGCATCCATTCAAAATCATTTCAGCATTTCTTAACTGACTGTAAATGTGTAGTAGTCTTAGTCCCCTTCCGAAATGACTGTGACATCTTACTGGTTCCATGAGCTAAATTAAATCTTCCAGAAGGAGCCCTCACCCCGTCACCAGCGCAAGACCTTGAACATCTCTGAGCCCTTTGCTGTGTCTGTGCCACTTCGCGTGTCAGCTGTCATCAGCACCAACAGTATCCCATGCAGAATACCCCCAAAGGAGCTGCAGTCTCTTTCCAGCCTAGAAGAGTTTTCTTTCCAAGGGCCCGAGAGTGGAGGTTGGCCTGAAGAGGAGAAGCCACCAGTAGCTGAGACCTCAGGTAAAGTGAGAGAGAAAAAGTTTCTCTCCTTTGCAAGAGATAAACACACACACACACACACACACACACACACACACACACACACACCTAGACTTGCTTACCTAGAGTCTGCAAGACAATGCAGAGAAGTCACTGGGTCCAAGAGCCAGGCTTCCTGGGTACAATTCCAGGCTGTCATTTGTCTGTATAATAGCACCTTCTTCATGTTAGTTGTGAATATTATGTTAATACATGTAAACATACATGTATTACTATATATTTGTGTTTACTATATATTTGTATGACTAACTTATATATGTACATATACACATACTCACACATGCATACACAAGCCATCTCCATAATGACAAAG